CCAATCAAACCAGCCAAATAAGTTTCCCAACCACACAGGCGTGTTTGAGTGTCACCCCTGCCTCGTAGCCATGGGAGCAGTTTGCCGCGACTGTGGGCTAGCGATTCGGGAGCTATGTGTCCCTACAGTACAGTATAATTATAAAATCAATTGACATATAAATATGTTAAAAATGAGAAAGTAAGCAATTTTTCAACAAGAGTGTGCTGTGACACTATTTTTATGTCTGATTTTATAAGTTTAAGTTGAGGTGAAACTTGGGGGCACACAAGATAAATCAGACTCTTGAAAGGGGTACAATATTCTGGAAAGGTTGAGAGCAGGGGTCGGCAACATTTCAGAAGTAGTGTGCCGAGTCTTCATTTATTCACTCTAATTTAAGATTTCACATGCCAGTAATACATTTTAACGTTTTTAGAAGGTCTCTTTCTATAAGTCTATAATATATAACTAAACTATTGTTGTATTTAAAGTAAATAAGGTTTTTAAAACGTTTACGAAGCTTCATTTAAAATTAAATTAAAATGCAGAGCCCCCAGGACCGGTGGCCAGGACCCGGGCAGTGTGAGTGCCACTGAAAATCAGCTTGTGTGCCGCTGTTGGCACGCATGCCATAGGTTGCCTACCCCTGGTTGAGAGCCACTGCACGAAAACAACAAGTAGGAAAAAACCCTTCAGTTGAGCTAGAATAACAATAAAGTCACTATAATGGCTTTAGCTTATGGCAACAGATTTACCATTTAGACAATCCTGTGTAGCGTGTATTGCAGTAATCCTGTCTGGACTTAGAACTGCATGCATTGTGGTTTTTAGATTAGAGTAAAAAATCTAAAATCTGTAGTCTAGAAATATTTATAAAAATCAGTAAAACTCTTTCTTGATCAAGATTGACCCATTTGGACAGTGAGTTTGTACAACGGCTTACCTACTCATCTATTCATTTGCTATCTGCCACTCTGTTCAATGCCAGAAACAATTGCTAGACAGACAAGAACCGACACAGCTACTACGCTGCATAATGTTAGACATATTTTTAAAAACACAGTAGTCCTAGAATTCATTACTCTTATTGCAAACATTTATACAAATTGTGATATTTCTACCATATTAGCAAATCTTTAGTTCACATTCTTTTGTTCCAAATATTGGTGGCTTGTGCCCCATGTCCTCCCAATCAATTATAAAATAGCTGCACAACATGAAAATGAATGTGAAAGTAACATTTGTACAGCACTTTGAAAATATAAATAAGTGTTAAGTATTATTAATATTTTCTCTTGATTCACAAATGACTAAAAATAACACATGGTAAATTGCAAAGAAAAAATAAAAGAAAACCAGGCAAAATTTTCATTGCTTGCTCTTCTCAGTGGACTGACAGTTGAATTAAAATACATTAGCACTATATATTTGACTCAGTAGTGCTGGTTTATTGTTTCCATGTGTTGAGTTTCTATGCAGTTATGGTCATTTGGTGTCCCCCTTCTGTTTTGGCCTTCCACCTATCCCGATGGTGTATCATCATGAATTTCCACACCCAATCAAATATCTAGGTGACAAAATACTTAAAGTAGTAATGCCAAAAGAAAACCCATAAGGGAGAGTAGACAGCAAATAAGGCAGGGAATTGACATTTAATTTGGTATCTAAAAAGCAACATGAGCTTTGAACTGTATACCAACAGGCATCACTGTCATGGACTAATGAGATTGTATTTCCTCTTCATTGACTATACCTAGTAGGACCTGACTTTCAGATATGACAAACACATAGAGCTCTTACAGCAGCCCATGGAATATTGCATTTGTTGGGGAGAAGTTGTTAAGAAAGGGAATATGTGGGAGTAGAAATGATCACCACTTTACAGGGCCCAAGAGAGTAAACCCAATAATATCTTAATTATACCTTATTTTGTTGTGTCTAGACCACAGTATTTTGTGATCTGTTTAAATGGAAATGAATAAATGAAATGATAATATCAAAAACAAATAAAATTACCTTGTTTTAGGCAAATGAAAATGAGACCAGGAGAGGTTCTTATAGACTGTTTAGATTCTATTGAAGATACCAAAGGAAACAATGGAGACAGAGGTAAGTGTGTACCTAATGAAATTCTCATCTTCTTAATTTCTAATTTGTTTAATCATTGTGGGTTTAAAGCAGCTGCCATTGAAGTTAATGGGAACACTCCCACTCACTTCAGTGGGAACAGGAGTGGATCCTGAATGCATAATTGTAAGAAAGACGGAAACAATTACACCATTAGAAAATGATTATACCTGAAGTTATGTTATTTCTGAAAGGAAAATGCAGAACTATCAAGTAATGTTCTACAGTTGTCTGTGAATCTTGCAAGAGAGAGCTACTGTATGTATATCTGATATTGGTCATTAGTCTTCTCTCTAAAGATCTTAGGAAAACAAACATATAGACTATAATGCAGACTATACTAGCATACTTGTGCTACCAGACAGAGAACATATATCTGTTCTCTCAAGGATATCCATCAGGTAGTGCAGTAGGTGCCAATGGCATGGATTTGATGGAAAGCGAAATAGGTGATGGAAAGTCTGTATCTGTGGGTTTGTTTGGAATTGAAAGCCTGGTTAGGAGGCAATTCATTTGGGTTCAGTTTCCTCCCTAAAAACAACTTGGTGATCTTAAGCTATAATCCTGCAGAAGGTTGTATAGGCCTGTACTACAACTGTATAATTTCTAGTTCTAGTGGGAACTTGTTTAAATTTTATAACACAAGAGGATTTCTTTTTTCAAGATTTATTGTACTCTCTAATTATCTCAGTGGTTTCTCCCATCATAGGTTAAGGTGCTTCTGTAGACAGAAAAAGTGGTAAATTCATCATAGAGTGTCATTGGACTAGGTTTCAAAATTGTGCTATTATCAGGCAACTACATTTTAAAATGATATAGCCTATTTCTCAGAGGACTGTTAGAAATGGTAACAAAACCTTCATTTATCAAGTTGTTGCAGGAACTGGAACTCTTTAATTTGTTTAAATTAATTCATTAGCCATCCTGATGCAGGAGCTTAAATACAATGTGAGATCTTTTCATTATTGAAAAGCCCTTTAAGAGAAGAACCCACCGGGAAGAATAATTCCTTTGTCTCTACTTAGAGCAAAATGTTGGGCCTTTCTTATATAGTAGTAAGGGATATGCACCACTGTGATAGAGTCTTTGGGGGCCAGGCAGCCTAGCGGTTAGATGATTGGTTAGGGGCTGGAGTGGGGGCCTGCCCTCCTTTCCCTCAGGTCCTGGCTCAGAGTCCAGGGCCACTCACACCACTAGATAGGGGAGATGGATCTTGCTCCCAGCCATGAGGGGGGTGCTCCGGACCTGTTTTCTGAATTGTTCCCTATGTAAGTCCTTTAGTTTGGGGCATGGCCCTGCTAGCCCAGTTTCCCCACAGTTGAAGCTTGGTGGTAGATTCCCCTTGGCAGGGGAAGAGTTACTTGCTTCCAGTGGCTGCATTGCCAGGCAGTGCTGTATCTGTGCCTTCAGGCAGACACACAGAGAGTTCCTGCCTCTTCACCAGTCAGTACCTGACTGAGCCAAGCTCCCTTTTTTTTCTCTCCCTTCCAGGCCTGGCATTGGCTGCAGGTATAACAGGGTGGGGCTAGCTGAAGCCACAGGTTTTCTTTATCCCCTGCTGTGCCTGGCAGCTATCTCTCTGCTCCTTCACAGCCACATAAGCTGCCTTCATTCTCAGCCAAGCACTCCTGAAGATGGTTGGGCTGATGTGCAAGCAGAAGGAATAGAGGGGATTTGCATAAGGTCCATGGGTATAGGGCTACTTGGTAAAGTAGCTCATGTAAAGGAACTTCTCATCCTCCCATCCACCACCACAATGAGAGTGAAATCCATAACTGTTTTTGTTTGTTTTTAGGGCTTAACTCTTGTGGGTATCGCTGGTGTATGGGAGTAGAACTGGGCAAATAACTGATTTTTTGGTTCTCTGGCATTTCCCGGGGGGAGGTGAGAGGGTTTCGATTTTTCTCTAAAACTGTAGATTACAAAAAACATTCAAGAAATCAGACATCAGCAAAAACTTTGATTTGGAGCAAACACTTTTTTAAAATCTGAAATGTTCGGTTTCATTTCTGGGCATTTTTAACTTTTTAAAATAAAAGCAAAGGAAATTGAAGGGCTAGATTCACAAAATGACTGGAGGAAAAGGTGGTGGTGGTACCCCCCCTTATAACCTTTAGGGCACTCTCCTTGGATGTAGATGACCTATATTCAATTCTTCCATCTGCCTGATGTGGAGAAGGAATTTGAACGTAGGTCTCCCAGATTTCAGGAGAATCCCCTGTCCACTGGGCTGTGGGATATTGTGAAACAGGTCTCTCAGTCATTCCTGTTGAAGCTATTCTGCTTTGTATAAAATACTTGAATAGTCACTGGGTTAGAGAGAGAATGAGAATAAGTCTGGCTTAGTGGTTAGGGCTTACCTGAGGTGAGAAAGACCCAAGTTCAAGTCCCTGATCTAAAGAGAGATTGAGAGAGACCTGCTCCAGGATACCCCAAACAGAGTGGTTGGGAAAGTCTTGTGCAATATGAGAGATCCAAGTTCAGATCCTTTCTCCACATCAGAGAGAGGGGGGAACTATATTTGGGTTTCTTTCGCATCCCGGGTGAGGGGCCTAATGCCTGGAGTAAAGGTTATAAGGAAGGCAGCTGTGCTACTGTCACCACCATCGCCCCTGGCCGTCCTGTAAATCTAGCCCCAAAAATCAAACACATTGTCTCAGATATGTCAAAATCATTTGTTTTAACATTATCAAAGTTATTTTGTTTTTTGATTTGACTGAAACTATTTGAAATAAGCGCACATTCACAAATAGTTTTGACTAACCTGAAACTGCATTTTTTTTCAATGACTACTTAGTCAAAAAAAGTTACCCAGGTCAATATGGGAAACTGTTTCCCTCCTTCCTGATTGCCACCATGAGAGATCTTTCTTAGAACAGGCCTTTAGTCCTTTCTCTAGATGACAACTCTATCTAAGAGTTAGCCTGAAGCTCCCTTTTTGTGTGTGAGACCCATTTAAGGTTCATGACCACTATTGCACTGGTATCTGCGCAGTCACCTGGGGGAAACCCATTCCTCTAATAGGATCTTGACGTAGGTGCTGAACATGACTCAGTGTCATTCTATGGTGGTAATGAACTCTATCTAAAATAAAGGTTTTTACAACAAAAGAAAGATCAGTATTGGCATTTGGTTTGTAGGGGTTTTCAGGAAGAGGAAAGGAAGCAGTTCTTATGTTTAAATTTTAAGTTTTGTGGAGCAACTTTGAAATCCCATGTTTAATCTGGACAGTTGTCAAATTTAATGAAAAATGTTGCACTCTTTGTTTCCAGGTAGACTTCTAGTGACAAATTTACGGATTATTTGGCACTCATTGGCATTACCTAGAGTCAATCTCTGTAAGTATCCCCTTTAGTTAAGAGGAATAAAGTTTTGTGTTTTCTTATAAGGTAGTATGCTGAATTTTCACAACAGTAATGAGTATAGCAATAAAGTTACAGTCTAATATTATGTGCTACTGCAAAGTCTTCAGTCTCCCATTGCTACCTAACCTGGGTATAATCCAGCAGTATTCATTATTCCTTTCAGTAATATAGGAACTGATATAATAATTCCTAGATAAACTGTCAATGTTTAATAACAATTTCTCAAACTAGAATTCTGAAGATCACAACAGTGTTATACTTTTCCTAAAGTCTATGGAATTTGTAGGTTTGCCTAGGAAGAACTGTTTCATTTTACTGTACTTTGAATTGCCCACTTGTCATGTCAGTATATGCTGTTGCCACTTCTTTATTTTGATTTAGTCTTGAGCCTCGTTTTTTCTCTCCTCAGAAACATATCATTTACTGTTATGGGCCCTGATTCATCAGGCTACTTAAACACATGTCAAACTTCAATTACACGGGTAGTCAATGAAACTGCCCAAGTGCTTAAAGTTAAGCATGTTCTTAAGTAGCTTGCAGAATGGTAGTGTGTGTCGTGGTACATTTGTTCAGCAGGCATTTTGCTCCAGATACTCAATTTCCAGTAGCCAAGAAAGTAGAAGTCTCGATGCTCACAAACTCAATCCCCCCTACATTGTATTACGTATTTGTGGTGATATTTTTTACCAAGTTATATAAAGTTTGCTTCTGGTCTCAAGGACAGATTCACCCCTGCTATAGGCAGAGACAATTCTATTCTTCAACTTTTTAGATATTTTAAAAATTGATTTTCTGTCAAAGTAATGCATTATCTATTACATGTAAGGTAATTTATTGACAAATAACAGGAAGTATCAATGAGTGAGTGAGTTTGCTAATTCTAGATTTCACAGTGGACATCAGTGTAGGTGCTGAATGATGACCTTGAGAGTAGTATTAATATGTGCAAAAATACCAGGAAAGACTGCCTTGTGTATCATGTAAAGATATAAGCATCCTCATTCTTTTGCCTGCCACCATACCCTAGTTTTCGAGACTGCAAAATCTCCTCATGACTAGCTCCCTAGTTGTCCTTTACTTATTTCATTGTTGCAGCCTTATTCTATATAAATTATATTTATATAAATTTCTATAAATATTTTCTAGTGGAAAGATTAAAAACGGAGAAGGCTGTGAATGCCTTGACCCTACTCTTTTGACTATGCTTACTTTTAATAACCATTTTTTAAGATTTTTTGGACTCTTTGGACCCTTATCCTTTATCATATTTCCTAGAACTCCCCATGTTCATTCAGCAGCTACTTTCAACTCATTTTCTATTATAAAAATTAAGGTCCCAATCCTGCATAGGGATCCTTGCAAGGAAGAAAATCCTATTCAGATTTATTTGCAGAACTGGAGCCTAAATTGGGAATAATATTGAGCATGTCCCAATTTAGGTTCCAGTTCTGCTGCCCCACTCAGATGAATAGACCAATATATTTTAGGTAGGGATTGGGCCTGCTCGTATTGCAATCAGTGACAAAGCACTGATTGGCTTCAGATTGGGCCCCTAACTATGTCAGTAGGTCTGCTCAGATGAAGAACTGAAGGACTGGGGTCTTAGTTTTTAATAACACAAACTGTTGTGGTCAGGGCAATAAAGCATTTTTAAAATTTTACCTTTTTTTTCTCTCTGTCCCCTCATTCTCTTCTCATTCTCCTCTTTTCAGACACAGTATCCATTCCCCCACCCAAACTGCTTCTATTTTTTTGCACTCTTAGCTCCTGGGATCCTCGCAACAATATTAATATAATAGTGGTAGGGATTTTTGTTTTTAAGGGTGAGATTCTAGCTGGGAACAGGTATGACATAATGTAAAAGGCCCACCCAGCCTATCATAATGTGGGCTTTTCACAATCAGTGTCCCAAAGAATGCTCTAACTGTATTGTTCTATATAACAGAATTTTCTTCTGATCAAAACTGTGCTTTTTTCCCCCCACAATTTTTAGCTGTTGGTTACAACTGCATTATAAATATAACTACGAGAACTGCTAACTCAGTAAGTTTCAAAATACTTCTTAAATTAAAAAGGTGTAAAAGTACCATAAACACTCATTGCACTATATAAATAATCTGAAAGTTCATCTTTAATCATAGACATAAAATAGTAGTGAATTTTTTATTTTAAATATTTAGAAATAAACTTTTAATTTTATAAGGAGAGGGTTTATTATTACAAGAATCTTGGGGGGAAATAGTGACTTTTGTGGGGCCAGGATTTCAATAACCAGGGGGCCAGGAAGTCAGTGTAAAACTTCCATAGACTGCTCTGGGGCCAGAATTTCACCTTAAGTGATTATAATTAGAATATGACCAAAAAAATGGTATGCTTGGATTGTTGATTATCTGTGTTGTTTACAATCAAGATTCTGTAATGTCAAAATGTTAAATATTAACAATTTTTCTTATAGAAACTACGAGGCCAGACAGAAGCTCTTTATATATTAACTAAATGTAACAATACACGATTTGAGTTCATATTTACTAATGTGGTTCCTGGGAGTCCCAGACTTTTCACTTCAGTTATTGCTGTACACAGGTACCATACTTAAAATAATGTTAAAATTATAGTAACTCAAGTATATATGCAGAATTGGGGATTGCTGTCACTGATGGACCCATCACATACTCTCATATACGTAAAGTCCACAGAAGTATTTGAAATACGAGCAAGGAATCTTAAAATGTGAGGTGGAGGGATGGGGGGACAGAAAGTCTGAGTCCAATTAAATGAATAAATACCGTAAAACGCATTTCATTCATATGTGTTATTGACCAGGGACGATATCCCACACTCTGGCTCAGCCAAAACTTTCACTCAAATTGGAATGTGGCTTGAGTGAAGACTGCCGGCTCTGGCCCTAGCACAGAACAAGTTACAATAACTCCAGTGCAAACCTGAAAAAAAAATTCCATTGGAACAGTTATCAATTATTAGGTGAAACTAAAATTCTTGGATTCTTATACTGGGTCATCCTTGCATTCTGTTAAAGATTCACTAAGTAGTTTTGTCTTAACTTTGTTTTGATTTAAATAAAATTTGTCAATTGATTTGCATCAAAAAACATTCATCTTGCCTTCATAAATGACCTGGAATTTGCTTGAATTAGGGCTGTCGATTAATCGCAGTTAACTCGTGCGATTAACTCAAAACAATTAATCATGATTAATCACAGTTTTAATTGCACTGTTAAACAATAGAATACCAATTGAAATTTATTACATATATTTGGACATTTTTCTACATTTTCAAGTATATTGATTTAAATTACAACACAGAATACAAAGTGTACAGTGCTCACTTTATATTATTTTTGCACTGTAAAAGTGATAAAAAATAGTATTTTTTCAATTCACCTCATACAAGTACTGTAGTGCAATCTCTTTATCGTGAAGGTGCAACTTATTAATGTAGGGTTTTTTTGTTACATAACTGCACTCAAAAACAAAACAATGTAAAAATTTAGAGCCTACAAGTCCACTCAGTCCTACTTATTCAGCCAATCGCTAAGACAAACAAGTTTATTTACATTTAAGGGAGATAATGCTGCCGGCTTCTTATTTACAATGTCACCTGAAAGTGAGAACAGGCATTCGCATGGCACTTTTGTAGCTGACATTGCAAGGTATTTACATGCCAACTATGGTAAACATTTGTATGTCCCTTCATGCTTTGGGCACCATTCCAGAGGACATGCTTCCATGCTGATGATGCTTGTTTAAAAAAATGCGTTAATTAAATTTTGACTGACTCCTTGGGGGAGAGTAGTATGTTTCCTGCTCTGTTTTACCCGGATTCTGCCATGTATTTCATATTATAGCAATCTCGGATGATGACCCAGCAAATGCTTTTTGTTTTAAGAACACTCACTGAGATTTGACAAAATGCAATGTGAGATTTCTAAAGATAACTACAGCACTCGACCCAAGGTTTAAGAATCTGAAGTGCCTTCCAAAATCTGAGAGGGACGAAGTGTGGAGTATCTTTCAGAAGACTTAAAAGAGCAACACTCTGATATGGAAACTATAGAACCCAAAACACCAAAAAAGAAAATCAACTTTCTGCTGGTGGCTTCTGACTCAGATGATGAAAGTTAACATGCGTCAGTCTGCACTGCTTTGGATCGTTATCGAGTAGAACCCATTATCAGCGTGGACGCATGTCCTCTGGAATGGTGGTTGAAGATGAAGGGACATATGAATCTCTAGCACATCTGGCACATAATTATCTTGCGACGCCAGCTACAATAGTGCCATGCAAACGCCTGTTCTCACTTTCGGGTGACGTAAACAAGAAGTGGACAGCATTATCTCCTGCAAATGTAAACAAACTTGTTTGTCTGAGGCCTTGTCTACACTACGTGTGGGGTCCACATTACTCTATGTCTCCCATCGACTCCCCTTATGCTTCTCGTTCAGATGGAGTACATGAGTCAATGGGAGAGCGATCTGTGGTTGATTTAGCAGATCTTCACTAGACCTGCTAAATCGACTGCCGATGCATTGATTGCCACGCATCGATCCCCTGGTAAGTGTAGACAGTGACTGTCTACACTAGAAGTAGGACTGAGTGGACTTGTAGGCTCTAAAGCTTTACACTGTTATATTTTTTGAAGGCAGTTTTTTTTTGTACATAATTCTACATTTGTAAGTTCAACTTTCATGATGAAAGGATTGCATTACAGTACTTGTATGAGGTGAACTGAAAAATACCATTTCTTTTGTTTTTTACAGCATAAATATTTGTAATCAAAAATAAATATGAAGTGAGCACTTCGTATTCTGTGTTGAAACTGTAATATATTTGAAAATGTAGAAAACATCCAAAAATATTTAAATAAATGGTATCCTATTATTGTTTAACAGTGTGATTAATCGCACAATTACTAGTGATTAATTTTTTAAATTGCACAATTAATCACAATTAATTTTTAATTGCTTGACAGCCCAATTTGAATACAAAAGCTTAAGTTCTATAAATAATGATTTTAAGCAATTCCTGTGTGATATCAGTGAGAAAAAAAAACTTTCTGATTTCTAAATAAACTAGAGCTAATTTCAATATTCAACTTCTTTGAAGTATTAGTAAAAACTAATATTAATAAGTAAAGGACACTTTTAATTGAAATATTTGCATAGGAGTAGTGAATCATTTAGTGTTTATCGAGGAATCATGACTGGATTGAAAAGCCCATTGGGGCCAGGATTTCACCCCTAAAGAATACATTATATAGCTGTGAACCTGTACATAGTCTAATGACATGAACCCTCACCTACACTATATACATAATTAAAAATTGTGGAATAATGATTTGTGTATATCTTATATATACAGAATATTTGTGCCTGATCGGAGTTGAAAATTAAATGTTTCCCAATGACCATACTGTATATAATGTGTGAACAGCAGGCTTTGGTTTCATTTTAACAGCTGAAAGAGCAGAACTATAAGGTGCAGAAAAGTGACAGCATGCATCAGAACACTGCAAAAGACCAAAATTGATTTCAAGCTAAAAAGTAATTTTTAAAATGTTTTGCTTAGTTTAAAAAAAAATTAACATAGCTATTCTACGTAGTGAAGGCTTATTAAAATTGCTGAACTTATAGATAATTGAAGTGGGAAGTTTGAAATATTTTATAAACCTGTGTTAACATGAACTATGAAAGACATTGAAATCTTCAGCTTTGGCATGTATTTTTATTTGTAGAGCTTATGAAACTTCTAAAATGTACCGTGATCTTAAGCTAAGAAGTGCATTGATTCAAAACAAGCAACTGAGATTATTACCACAAGAACAAGTATATGACAAAATCAATGGAGTCTGGAATTTATCTAGTGACCAGGTATAATTAAAAGAAGAGTATATGCAGTTTTACTAAAACTTTGCTTTGTTTTTCATCTTCCTAGCAACTGTACTAGTATAGTTCTATAACCTCACAGGAATTCTCTTTTGGTTCAGTTCATGAGTGGGTTACATGAGAAGCAGTCTATCCTGTGTATGCTATTCAGTATAACAGAGTACTCCTCGTAGCAACCTGTCATGACATTTGTGAGAGAGTTTTTCAGCTCTGTATACAAGGAATTAGATACACAGCTCCTATTAACAAGAAGTATTTGAGAGCCTAATTCTCTGTGTATCATTCTGAAAATATACCCTGCTATTTCTAAAACACTTTGCTGCATATTTGTATAATCTACTTGCAGTTTTTGACTGCATGTTTTCCTTTGTTTTATGGTTGCTAACAACTAAAAACATTGGAATAGAAGATTATTTCTTGGGGATGGGGTGAGACTAGGAGTTGCAAGTGATATGTACAATATGTCGGTGTTATTCTCCAGGGAACTACTTATCTGTACTTTTTTAGGGCATGGAAAAAAATGGAAGCTGTTATTTGTCTGTGTAATTTTAGTCCAAAATGGGCATTACATCAGTCTTGATGAATAAGAGTTCTTTCCTCTATGCTCCAGTTTTGATTTTGGCACACATGTCCACAGTCGCCTAAATTTAACGCACATGCCATTGTACTTGTACAGTATGCCAGTTCTGGAACTCTACAGTGAACAACACTTGAAAGTTTCACATTCTCCTCTAAGGTTCACTGTGCTGTAGTGTGATCCTGGTTTGCTGCAGTAATAGCAATCCCCCAAGGGTTTTCACCACTTAAGCAGTGAGAGTCTTTTTTAAGATTTCTCCTGCTCCCATTAAAATCAGTGGTAACACTCCCATTGACTTCAGTTAGGCAGCATCAAATCCTAATTGAACTGAATGCAGAGTTCTATTATATTAGCATTTCAGTGGAGGATCTGAGTAGGGTCTGCAAATGAGAACAGGCCCTACATTTCAAAAGAATTCTGATATATCTATTTTTTACAGGGAAATCTGGGGACCTTTTTCATTACTAATGTGAGAATAGTTTGGCATGCAAATATGAATGACAGCTTTAATGTCAGCATACCATATCTGCAAATTGTAAGTATCTTAACCTCAATAATCCTTTTGAAACCTAAATACTGTATGATATGGGTCAAATTCCAACCTTCAGTTCACACACCTAGCTCATATTGAACTTAATGGGAGTTGCATGTCCTTATCTGAGGGAAGATTTGGCCGTTGTAGAGCAGATTTTTCTGTCCAAATTCCTTGAAAAAAAATCAAGCCTGTCAGGATCAGGAGCCGGATCCTTGGATCTGATCTGTATTTCTGATTTCCATGGTGCTTACCATGCTGCTGTTCCAATGCCAGTAGTGTACACCAATGTATGTGACCTCTGGAATTCATCTTTTGATCAAAGGTTTCAGAAAGGGACACTGCCAAGACCTTGCCATCATTTCTGATGGAATACTCCTCCACCGGATGTCAGTGGTTCAGATTTGGAATTCCAAATGGCTGAAGATGCCACGTATTCAGAACTGATAATTGCAGTTAATAGTATTAACAAATTGTTTGTATCAAAGAATTAAAGAACACCATTTTAAAAAAACACATTTTACCTCTTTTTACTTTACAACCAGCGTTCAATAAAGATTAGAGACTCAAAGTTTGGCTTGGCACTTGTCATAGAAAGTTCTCAGCAGGTAAGATGATTTAATAGCATTCTTTAGTTATTTTCATTTTTACCTATATAGCTATGCAATTCTGATATTCACTGTGCTATTTTTAGACAATGAATAGACTGAACTCCTATATGCTCTTTAGAGTTTAAACTCAAGAAAACTTGGCTACATAAGAGGCCAAAATTGTGGTGAAAATATGGCTGTTGAGTTATGAATTTATTGAACAAAGATTTTGATGAATGAACCACCAGCTGATTAATGAGGTCTCTAACTGAAACACGAACTGGCCAGCATGGCCAGTTAATTTGTTATTTATTTAGGTAATGCCTTGTTACACAGGAACTCTAGTTTAGGGAGAGTGATAATGGATTAATTTTAGCACTGTGCAGCTAAAAAATAATACTATTAAAAAAAACATTGTCTTCTTTGCTACTGTGTGTAAAAGATTGGTAATTTCTTCTACTGGTGACCATGATCAAAAACGTTTCTACAGTTGAAAAAATTATTTTTGGCTACATCATATGCATTCATTATAACTGAAAGCTACCTTCATAATAGCACTTATGATCTAATGGATTAAGCATTTATTGAGCAGCTCGAAACTCCTGAATACAGATCCTAGCCTTGCCACTGATTTTCAGTTTTCTCTGTTTCCCATCTGTAAAACCGAATAGTAGTGCATAACTTTTATACTTCATGGGGCGTGAAATCCTAGCCCACTGGAAGTCCATGGAAGTCAGAATTTGTACAGCAGTTTGAAATTTATAAAATACTTATATAAAAGTTCTCATTGTTAGTATTAAGAAATGCCGGTCAAGAGGAAATACTTTTTCTGTAAGTAGATATCTTTTATATAGTAAAAAAATAATTCATTTGAGTACATATTTTTATTTTCTTGTAGAGTGGAGGCTATGTACTTGGTTTTAAAATAGACCCTGTGGAGAAACTACAGGAGGCAGTGAAAGAAATAAATTCACTGCATAGAGTTTACTCAGCTAGCCCTATATTTGGAGTGGATTATGAAATGGAAGAAAAGGTATTCTGTTCCTTTTATTACAGAAGCTACATGCAGCATTGCACTAACAGAAGAAATAAAATTATATTAAAAACATTATATATAAATGTATTTGTTTACTTCATTGTCTCAATTTACAGCCTCAACCTCTTGAAGATCTGACAGTGGAACAGGTTCAGGATGATGTGGAAATAGAGTCTGATGAACAGACAGATGCTTTTGTGGTAAGCTTCTCCAGAAAAACAAAATTGTTTGATTATTTAAATATAAATCTTTTCTAGACTTGGGTTCCTACTAAAAGCTATGTTGGGTCTTCTGATGTTAAATAACATATTTAAATGTCTTTTGGGCATAAAGTCCAAAACTATGTAGTCTCTAACTGTAAACTCTAACTTTTTCAACATTCTCTTTAGAAAGAGCTATATTTCAAATGGTTATTGACAGTCAGGGTAGTTGGTATTTAAAGTAGCAGTCACAAGCAACTAGCAGCATGCTTTAAGGTCCAGCAGGGTCTAAAAGCTTGTAGTTTAATCAGGTCATACAGATATTAAAATTAAGTCTTCTTTCTTTCTGGGCAGATTGATATGATAGTGTTGTGTCTAGAAGGTTGCCTCAGTATTTGCCCCCACAAGATTTTAGGAAAAGGTAACATTAAATGTTGTCCCTAAACCTAATATGAAGAAGGGATGAGTACCCACAACTTCCATTGATACAAACACAAGAACATATATTGATGAGGTGGAGTCTCTTCTGAAATTATTTTAAATGTAGTCCTTTCCCTATATCCAGAAACTATTTTTTAGTATAAACAGAAGAGTGCACAAGTATTTTTATATGGTAGCCTAACCCAAAATACACATTGTCATAGCTCACTTTTGAAATCTGATAGACTCAACAATCCTAAAACCAACCCTACTAGCCTGCCCTTACTCTTCTTCTTTCCTATCCCTTATCTGTCCTGCTAACCTTCATCTTTTTTATCTCTCTCTATCTTGCCTTTCTCTTATTTCAGTCTGTAATTTCCTTTCCTTTTTCCTCTTTCCTTCTGTGTGGTTTTTTTTTTGGGGCGGGGGCTTCAGTGTCGGGAGTACTTTTATTTCTATGAGATCGTCATCACAGTTACAATCCTTTTCTCTTATATTTGGATTTTGTCTGGATTATCCATGCCTTTGTCACTTCTGCTTTGAATTAATCTAATGTGCTCTGTATTTAAGTATCCTGGGATAATATTTGGAAGCTATAGCTGGTACAGAATGCAGTGATCTACTTGCCACAGGGAACATATTTCATCTGAATTCCAGTCTTCTATTGTAATTGAAGGCGTTAGTATTCTGTACAGTCCCATGTGATTTTAGGCCTATTTGAGAAAATGCCTTGGTCCACCAAGACAGCTGAGGTCCCTAGATTTTTGCTAAGTCCCTAGATTTAAAGATCTAGGAGCTGCTGGCATGGACCTCTCAGAGAAGAGCCATTAATGCTGGAATTTGCTTTCCCTGCTTGTCCAAGACTCAGTCTGATTTTCAGGGGATGGTATAAAGCCCACCTCTTTATACAAGTCTTTGCCTGAGACAGGAATGACTTTGCTTAAGTGTTAGATTAGCCAATTAGTGTTGTTGACTAATCATTTTGATAATAGCAGCAAAGAGTCCTGTGGCACCTTATAGACTAACAGACATATAGGCGCATCCGAAGAAGTGGGTATTCACCCACGAAAGCTCATGCTCCAATACGTCTTTTAGTGTATAAGGTGCCACAGGACTCTTTGCTGCTTTTACAGATCCAGACTAACACAGCTACCCCTTTGATAATGTTATTTTTAATTTTTGTGAACATGCCCCAAGATGATATGAAGGGCCCATTTTTAGAAATTGAATAGTAAATGTTGCTGCATGTGCAGAAGGAACTATGAGCATGCCATCAGTTCTGCCTCCATTTTATTATGAATAACAGACATTTGTTATAACAGACATTTTAGCAGTTATTTAGATTGACTGTTTCATATTAAGTCACTGCTTTCTGATTGAAGTTTTGCTTAGTAAATTTCAACCCAGAGTGAATTTTTAGTCTTCTTTATAAAATGAAAGTAAAAGATTCTACCAAGCACACATGTAAATCTCAGAAAATATGCCAAATGCAGTTTTAAATAAGAGATTGTTTAACACTGAAATTCATTTTAAAATGGAAAGTTAATAGAACTGAGAAGCCTAAAGTATCTCTGTGTAGGTATAAAAAAATATTAATGGTAAATGGGAAAGTATTTTTTAAATTGCATATAGGAAAACAATTTTAAATCATTTAGGTGGGTTTATGATACTTTTTTTTTCTTTTTGTAGGCTTACTTTGCAGATGGTAATAAGGTAAGAACACTTTAACATTGTAAAATGCATATTATTTAATAATTCACTATTCACAGATTCTAATGAAACTTGTCTTTTATTTGTTCCTCCTCTCTATGCCCTTCGCCTCCAAAAAAGCAACAAGATCGGGAACCTGTATTTTCAGAAGAACTGGGACTGGCAATAGAGAAACTGAAGGATGGATTCACGCTTCAGGGACTCTGGGAAGTAATGGGTTGATTTAGATTTAACATTATTTTCCTGATCAATGCAAGGCATGTAGTCATTATGTTACCACCAGATCTTTAGGAAGACTGAAAATATTTGAGTAAGACAGAACTATTATACCAAAGAGAAGGAACATATAAATATCATACAATGAATAGTTAACTTATTTTGTGAAAGAAAACATGTTAAACAAATTGTACATTTGTAACAATTGTATTTTGTGTATTTTTTTATATATTTCTTGTGCTAAAGTTTTAAATTATTTATTTGCTTATATAAAAAAGGTACTGATCTATAATTGTATCTAAATAACATTTCCATTGCATCTTTTGTGACACAGTCTTAAAATGTTATTTAGGGGAATAAACAAAAATATATTAATGTGGGTAAACTTTTTTTTTTTTAAAGAAAGAATAGTTGTCATTGTGGCAGTATTGTGGTATAGCTATCATTTTGACAAAGTACTGTACTATTCCAAGTGTAACTGCTAGTTTTCATATTACATATAGAACTTCATGTACTGTATATCAATCATCATTCCAGGTACTAATTTTCATCCAAAGACTCCAGTACAATTTTTTTTTTCCAGAAAGCACTGACTTGTTTGTTTTTTAAAGGAGATAATCAGGAAAGAATCACACACTACATATCTTTTGCTTCTGACCCATCAGACCTTTAAAATGTTGTGTTACATGCAGAGAGAATTGAGTCATTTATTGTTTAAAGGGGAGATGCAGCTGTTAAGTTTTTTAGTGAGATGAGATCTTACACACTATTTCCTATAAATGGAAAAAGTGAAATGAGCTCTCCTTTCAGCTGTTGTTTTAGCAGCTGACTACACCAGTGACTTCACTGTGGTATGGAAAGGAAGAAAAGCCTGTTAAATATTTGTGTAAAACTTAGATATATATAAAACTATAATTAAATGAAATCCTGTTTATATCAAATGTATTTATAAAAGTTGGTACCCAATCCTGTTCCCATTTAAGTCCCATTAATGGGTGTTTTGTCATTGACTTCTGTGGGAGCAAGATCAAGCCCTTTGTCACTAAAGCACGTTAAGGAAATTCTGGGTTGTTAAAACTTCTACATTTCCAAATGTAATCGAAATCTAAGCCTTCCCTGCCTAAATGCTGAAACTCTTAACAAAAATAATTTGTGAGTACCTAACTCACGTATATTTTGCAAATCTGCTCTTCTTACTTTGTTAAACTATTAACAGTTTGTACTGTTAATACAAAGCTTCTTTTTCTCAATTTTTAATGTTGTGAGAATTCTCATTGGTTAAAGGATTTTCATTTGTGGCATTTTTTTTTAATTTTCTCTTCTGTCTCTAATGTACCTATTACCTTCATTTTAAAAGGATAGAGGATACCCTTTACTAATACCACTTTTAATGTATCCCTAAAATGAAAACTTAAAAACAAATATTGGGGAGGGGGGGAAGGGAAGTGATAATGTGTCTAGGAAAATGATCTGGAGTGAGAATTACATTTTAAGAATAAAAAAATTGGAGCTTCATTTGTAAATGATATTTTAAAATAATTAAGTGGAATTTTGCTTGGAGATTCTTTTCATATTTTAGCTTGCAAACAAATTACCATGTATTGTTTTAAGTAGAAATCCAAAATAAAATACATATTTTTCATTACATTATTTCTCCAGAACTGAATTATGAAAAAACACCCTAGCACAAAATATCTGTCTATAATGAATCACAATGAATTTTACTCAGAATGAAGTACCAGACATTCATACTGGGCGACTTTTGTGAAGCAATCTCTTTAAAAACCATTTTCTGTGAATCCACTGTGAATAGACATAACATCATAGCTGCTAACTTTACCCTTTACAGATAATACTTCTATTTCAGAGTATTCTGTAATGTCTTTATATTTGAGACCTGATTCATAGCTATTTCCTTAAAGACCAGATTCTGCCATCCTTACTCACATTGAGTAATATCTTACTCTGCAAGTTTCAGTGATTAAATATGCATAATGATTGCCCTTAGTGACTAAAAGCAACAGTTGCTTCTTTCAATCTATGACAGCTGCCAGAGCAACTCTTCTTTCCACACCACCATCCACCCTAAATTCCAACTTGTAAGAGGCTGTACCTATATTTAGTTGGAAGGATTAAATTACAGAGACTTCAGGCTGGGCAAAGCACATTGATCTGCCTTTTTACAGGCAGACCTTAGTGCCGACAACAGCTAAAGCTTTCAGTTTCCCCCCACACACCCATATTATTCACAAAATGGATTCCCAAAGGGAACTCACTGAAGAACTTCGACTTTACCAATCCACGCTTCTTCAGGATGGCCTCAAGGAACTCCTGGATGAGAAAAAGTTCATTGATTGCTATCTAAAAGCTGGTGATAAAAGCTTACCTTGCCACAGATTGATTCTATCAGCTTGTAGTCCTTATTTCCGTGAGTATTTCTTATCTGAGCAAAGTGAAGAGAAAAAAAAGGAGGTAGTTCTAGACAATGTGGACCCTAGCATCCTGGATCTGATTGTCAAGTACCTTTACTCTGCAAGTATTGATCTCAACGATTCTAATGTGCAAGATATTTTTGCTTTGGCCAGCCGCTTTCAGATCCCTTCTGTATTCACTGTATGTGTCTCCTATCTTCAGAAAAGACTTGCTGTTGGTAATTGTCTAGCCATCCTTAGATTAGGTCTCCTCCTTGACTGCCCAAGACTTGCATTGTCTGCCCGTGACTTTGTGTCAGACCATTTTGTGCAGATTTGCAAAGAAGAGGACTTCATGCAGCTTGCCCCCCATGAGCTCATCTCAGTTATTTCACCTGACAGCTTAAACGTAGAAAAGGAAGAAGTGGTATTTGAAGCAGTAATGACATGGGTCCGAACAGACAAAGAGAACAGAATAAAGAGCCTGGGAGAAGTCTTTGACTGCATTCGTTTTCGTCTTATGGCAGAAAAATATTTCAAGGAGCATGTTGAGAAGGATGATATAATCAAAAGCAACTCAGATCTTCAGAAAAAAATCAAGGTTATTAAGGATGCCTTTGCTGGAAAATTGCCTGAACCTGCTGTAAGCAAAGGAAAGTCAGGTGAAGGGGAAGTAAATGGTGATGTAGGGGATGAAGATTTACTCCCTGGATACCTCAATGACATTCCGAGACATGGTATGTTTGTCAAAGACCTTATTCTTCTGGTCAATGACACAGCTGCAGTGGCTTATGACCCTGTAGAGAATGAATGTTTCCTGGCAGCCCTGGCAGAACAGATTCCCAGAAATCATTCCAGCATAGTCACCAAACAAAATCAGGTCTATGTCGTCGGAGGACTGTATGTGGATGAGGAGAACAAGGATCAACCTTTACAGTCATACTTCTTCCAGGTATAAACCTCATATTCATTGGTATATCAGTATGGTGTTAGCATGACATTAAAAACAGACTTTCTGCAAGTTACTGAAGAGCATTTAGCTCTAACTCTAAATGTAGAATAGGGTAATCTTTGATTTAATTAATTTCAGTCACATGATTTTTCCTATAAAAGTTTTGCTTGTTGCTGTAGTCTTTGAAATTCCTCCCAGAACAGCATAGTCCATTAGGGACAAATGTCATCTTTCACTTGACTTGTTTGGCTTTTAACAGATGCCTTAATGGCAGGTTTCTATATTAAATTGATTCCTATTAAAACAAAAGCTTTTATGAAAATATGCATTTTGGGCACATTCTTAAGAAGTGCTGAGCATCCAGTGCTCCTAGTGAAGTCCATGGGAATTGCATGTTCTCTGTGTCGTTCAGGATTAAGGCCTAGGTGAGTTCTTAAAGGCACCTAAAGATGCACCTAGTGGGATTTTCAAAAGTGCCTAGATTCCTTACTTCTATTGATTTCAATCAGAGGTGCCTAGGCACTTTTGAAAATCCCACTAGGCGCCTAGCTGCATCTTTTGGTTCCTAAATGCCTTTAAAAATCTGGCCCTTAGTGTCCTAACCAATTTAACTCTTCCTCCCCGCCCCAAAAAACATCAGTAGGTGTCCTATCATGTTGTTGGGTGGCAGTTTGCCAAAATTATAAAGCTTGAAGTAATTTGAGATATGTCAGTTTAAATACAACCTTCTTAAATTGGCAAACAGCCTGTAATAATGCTCCAAATACACTCTAGGCTGAAATATAGTATGTGAACATTTAAATCCATGTAAATGTAAGATTTATTAATACAAACTATGGCTGAGCCTTAACTATAGTGACACAGATATAATAAAATTAGCACACACACAAAAAAGCTCAAGGAGTATGCTTATGTCAAACTTATCCTGAGGTTTTTAGATACATAGTTACATTCTGTACCCTTGGGTATTTCAACTATCTCTTGATTTATTTGATGGTATGCTCTGTTTCCAAATTCTTGACTTCAGTGGGAGATTAGCCTAAAGAGTACAAGATCAGATCCTTTGTTAGCATATACTACAGCAAGGCAATACTAAATTATATAATTTTAAAGTCATTGGCAGATATTGAAAATAGCAATTATTGCAACTGTTTCATGAGCTATGGATTAAAATATCACATTCAGATACTAAGGTAATGAACTGGGTACAGATTTTGAGAAAGAACTGTTGGTTTTCTAGAGAGAGATTACATTAGTACTGTTTCATTTCCTTACATAGACATAAAGCACTAATCAATGAAGTACAAGAGTTGCTACAAAAATTTGTTTGCAGTGCAGGTGTTACATTGGTTTCAGGAAATAATCTAATCTAGAATTAGAACTGAATTATCAGGCTATAATTCTATCATGGGGTTTTTAGTGACACATATACCATAGGAGTGAGGCTAGTAATTGATGTAATTTCCAGAATCCTTTTTTACATCTTTCCCTGATCCATGCCCTGAATTTCTGCTGCCCTCCTGTCCCCATCCCACTTATCCACCCCATTGCTACTCTTAAGTGCTGCTGCTGTTGCTCACTACTAAAATATCTCTACTCTTCTGCACTACCAGCTTGGTGATTGTTTCCTTCAAAGTTTTAACATGGTAGACCTACAACATTTCCACTCCTCATAAGTCCCCACTTCTCCACCACTTCTGCCTCACTGGCCTTACCACTTCATTAAGTGCCTGACAAGGTGGGAGAAAACTAAGTTACTGCCCATCAAGAAATGTGCCCCTAATTGTACATTACTCCATCAGAACTTATACGCAAAAGGAAATTCCCCACACCAGTTACACTGCTGATTCACTGATTATCTTATCAGCTATAATGAATAGGATGCAAGAGTTTCTCTGTCCTGATACGCAAAGCTCTGCCTGAACTGGCCTTAACTACCTGAGGAATCTATGTCCATTAGTTCCCAAGTTCCACTGCAACATATAAACTGTTGACCAACAGGAGGAAACTAGTGAGCTTTGGAGCCAGAAGTTTCACTGGAGCTGGACCTACACTATGGACCTCATTTCCACAAGGGACAAGAATAACCATGCACCTCACTTTTCAGAGCTAAATACAAACCTCACTACTTTGAGCGTGCGCACACATGTCTGTAAGCTGGAAAGCAAGGAAGAAAAAGATTTCTATTCTTAACTGCTGGGGAGGTACTCAGATACTACAGGGAGGGGGGTTATGCAAGGACATAAGTAGAAACAAATCAATCAATTTCATATAGTGTCGGTCTCTGAAAACATCCCATGGTTTTCCTCTGCCCATTGTTCCTCTTCTGTAACTGCTTACAGCACAGCGAAAGTGAATGGAAACTAAATCTTCTGAGTGTGTCAGATGAAAAATCAGTATTATGACTAGTGGGACTGGAGACTTGTCATTACACTGCTTCCCTCCTGGTTTGCTCAGAAACCAAGTATTTTATTTTGTTTTCCTTCCTTTATGTCTTGTAGAAAAAAAGTCACAATTCACCTTCACTCTGCTATGTGCACACTAAGATCCTAAGAGCTTTTGAAGCACTGCAATGAGAGGAGCACTTTTATTGCTCCAGCAGTGTTAGGCGGAGGGAGGGGGGGGTAAAAGTTGGCACATGTCATCTGATCCAATGAATGGGCAGTTAGAATAAATATAATGTGGAACACTACTGATCCACTTACTGCATCTAAATCTATTTCACCCAGTTTTCAATGTGTGGGCTTTTACTATGCATCTTTCCTGACATTTCCTATTTTGATGTTCTTTCAGCTGGATAGCATTGCTGGTGAATGGATAGGCCTTCCTCCACTGCCTTCAGCCAGATGCCTTTTTGGTCTGGGAGAGTCAGACAACAAATTGTATGTAATTGCAGGAAAGGACCTTCAGACAGAGGAGTCTCTGGATTCAGTATTGTGCTATGATCCTGTGTACGTTAACAATTTATGTTTACCGAGCATGTTTAAAATAACCTTTTTTCATTTAAATTGCCTTAATAGTATGATCTTCCAATTCCAGGGCAGTAAAATGGAGTGAGGCCAAAAAGCTTCCACTCAAAGTATATGGCCATGCAACAATTTCACACAATGGGATGATATACTGTCTTGGAGGAAAGACTGATGACAAGTGAGTACCAAATAATTTCATGGCAATTGGTACCATTGATTAGTTGGGTGTCCTCACACTCAGCAATCAAAGCTCACGTTTATTTGCAACTGGTTGTGGGTTTGGTACATGGAATCACATTGTGATGTCTACAAAATATC